GGTGTGGTTGCCTTTGGAGGTTATTATTCTGCCTACCATACCTGCCCACATCCCAGGTGGATCAGATACATAATGTAATGGGAAACACTGTCAACTGTAAAGTTTAATAGAAATCTAATAAAATTTATGTTCTGTAGTAGAAACAGCATTGAACTGGGAGTCCAGTTCTTGAATTCTAGACCTGGTTCTGCTACTCTTTTTTTATGTGATCTGGGAAAATCATTTAACCCCTTTGGCATTCAGATTTCTCAATTCTAAAGTACAAGAATTAAGAGAGACAAAGCAAGATCACGTCAAAACCCATAAGGATCTTTGTTCCTAATTTAAAGACTATATAGAAAAATCTGGAACTCAGGATATGCCTCTGAGGACAGACTTGTTGCTGGGAAGAAATCCCCAGTCCTCTGGCATGCTATTCACACAATAGGAGAATAGAGTGTCAGCCTAGGAGATACATTTCAGAGTTTAGTTGGGTTCATTTTTAACTCTTAAAGTCCTAGTTGTACAGTAGATCAGAGGTTGTAATCCCCACTTACCTTGTGAGGAAACTGATTTAAATAGCTTCACTGATTCTATGAAGGTCACATAATGTCTGTGGTGGGGTTAAGACTATTCTTCAGATCTTTTTTGACAAGTCCTACATGCATTCAGCTAACAGACTTCCCGCCTATCTGCCATTTAATGTGCTCACAGATCAGGAGTAGCATACAGAATTATATAGCATCATACTTTGACCACAGTAGGTCATAAAGATCTTTTAGAACTTATTCTTGTGAAAATTACAAGAGTTGGAAGCAGTTTTTTATTGTCTACAACTGGTGGATACATTAGTCTCTATTGATAAATTGTACCTTCATATTTCTTTATGAAACAGTTCTTCCTGCCTCTTGCCTTGCTTCATTCCAAGGAGTCACAGACAGCAGCATATTGGCACATTCGTTTCAGATAGAGAAACTCATTGTTATGGAGATGGCTAAATTTATGGATTAGCTTTCCCAAAAAATGGTTTCCTCCCTGAAACGGATGGATACATCCTTTATAGCACATCAGAAATTATATTATATTATTATATGTTAGACATCAATTTTGGAAGTCTTCACAGGCACATAAACAACACTTGGGCATATTTTTAATTTTTATGCTTGCCATGATCTTGACAGGAAAAAGAGCACTTGAAAAAATTGATTAATTGAAGACAGTTTAATAGGGGGATTATTTATCAAGTTATAAGGGATATGTGTGGCTTTTTGGAGTTAGCAGTGGCTGGGAATGTCTAGCACCACTAATCCTGAAGGTAGAGTAGGAAGCAGTTACTCAAACACAACACATCTGGACCTGTGGCAAAAGCCCCTGACAGGACCTGCATTCTTGAGTAAAAAAATCCAACAGGGAAGTGGCCAGAGAGACTTATACCAACATCACTCCCCTTGTGCCCTTCAAACCTGACAGGAAACAAAGGGGAAAGGACTTGTCAATGCAATCTTTAGAAGTCAGCTTCAGGGGTATAGAGCCAGAAGGTGAAAGATGGAGGGCAGATGGTGGAAAGGCGAGAAGAGGGCCCCAAACACTTCTCTCTGTCTGTTTTCATGGGATCTTATCTGACAAATGAAATAATGCTCCACTGTAACTTCACTGCTGTCACACTTCCTTCGGGATATATTTAGAAAGCACAGTTAATAAAGTTGACCTTTAAGCTAGTAAAGCATAAAATCTACGATCAATATGTAATTTACACAGGAAGTACTTCTTACTCATCCATAGAGTACTTTAACAGTTTGCATTTCTTCTGAGTAGAGAGTAACTGAAAAATTAATACAAAATCATTTTGCAAGTGGTTCAAATTGGAATATGTTTCATTTTCTCTTATTTTTAGCCCTCAGCTACCATATTATTTCAAAATTTAATCTTGATCAATTTTTATCATTTTAATGGGTTATTTTCAACATGATATTATGAAAGAATATAATCTTTTAGAATTGATTGGTTGAAAAGTCTATTTTAAAAACTAGATGGCAATTTAAAAAGCCAAAGTATGAAAGAAGGCCCAGTTATAACCCAACCTATAAATCAACAAAATGATTTAGCTCCTAAAATGCTAGACTTTGAGTATTTACCTGATAAAAATACACAAACAGCACCCATTGTTTATAGTTTTCATTTATAAGGAAATGGCAACTTACCTGTTGACTCTTACTTATTGATTTTGCATAATTTTATCTATGTTTCAATATTTTTGTTAAAATTAAGTTGGCAATAGAATGACAAGACTTGTGATTTTGCTCACCTTCTCTCCTTTGCAAGGGTCAATATCATCAAAGGGGAATCTAAGCCCTATAGTTTAACTTCTCTTCTGATTTTTAGAAAATTTTTGCAAAGCCTAAAGTAAAATTAGCATCATCAGAGCTCAACTAAATGCATAATATGTCAATATATTCAGGAACAAAGGGAAAAAAACAGAAAACAAAGGATGAAATCTCAATTTTAACTGAATGATTATCATCATACTTTGAAATGTATATTGGCTTTTTGGGAATTACATTAACATTCAGTAGTATGATAATAGCATCTCTCATTTATTCTATTCTGTGATGGGAAGAAATTCATGCATTATGGTAGTTTGGAGTTAAAAATAACAAGATACACTGTTTTTCCTTTTTTGAAGATTACCTTACATTATTTCACTTATTTCTAAAGACAAGGTAGGAAAAAGACCAATTTAACTTATAGATGACTATGAATATGGAATGATTAAATATGGTCTTTCTTAAAATAGATTTTGTAAACTGAGAACTACAAGGGTTGTCTGCTTAGAAAAACCAACTTAAACTCATCCACCCACCAGGCATCAAAGAGAATATTATTTGCTTCCTGCTGTGAAATTATATAGTTATGGTAGATTTCTTATAGAGATATTTCACTTACTCATTCATTCAGTAAGTAAGTAGTAAAGAAGGGAAAACAGTAAAATTCAGTCCTTAAATTTGTGACAAAACAGTTAAAATATTTGAGGAAACTATATCAGTCATTAAATATATAAGTATTGTAGAGTCAAATAAATGAACATTACAGCCATATCTTCTTCATTTTTGTATTTACAGTGCCTTGTACAGAGTAGATGCTCAGCAACAAATGATTTTCTGCTCTTTATTTGCCAGTTTTCATTACAAATGGGAAGTACATAATCTTACCTAAAAGAATTTATTAGGCAACTAAATATTATTCCCTATCTGCTCTGAACCACAGTCTTACAGCCCCTCAACATGCCACCCTCTTTTTACCAAAAGTGACACCATAATTAAAACTCAGGGCACTGAGCAAAAGCAAGCCTGTTTTTAAAGTACTATTATCATTTTGAATTTTACAATCTTTCAAAAACTGAGATGATATTTGTTCCAGGAATTAACAGGGTGTTGGGACAATATGGAAAAGCAATTTCCCCATTTATTTATATTTACAGGCTTCTCTCATAATCACTAGTAATGCCTCTAGAAGAGGTCCAGAGGATTGTCACATGAGTTGCTAGTCAGTAAAAGAAGTGTCTTCAAGAGCTGAGGTACAGCTAGTACCTACTTTTAAAAAGGTGTGCTCAAGGAAAGTGTAATACTGCTAATGTCTCCTCAGAATTATGCTTTTAGAATATTATTTCTAAGATTTTTAGTAGAATAGAAAATCTTGAGGTGGGGAAAAATTTGAGAACTAGAAAATATTCAGTGTTTTGCTCCTTATTGACCTAATCCCCACTCCAACCAAGTTGAATTTTCAAGTTATCCAAGAACATAAACTCCAGAGCCATTCAGTTTTTGCTAATATTGTTTTGTCGTAAATAGCAAGGCAGGAACCTTCACCATTCACATTCCCCATTTCAACCTGGAAGATCATGGGCTTGCTTCCTCTTTCTTTCTTTCCCTTTTCTCTCTCTTTCTTCCTACTCTCACCATCCCATTTACCTTTCTGCCTGACTTTTCCTCCTCTGCTTTCTCATACAGCCCACCAGAAACCTCACAGGAAGAAAAACAGAGTCTACAGTCCCCATTAGTATACTGCATGGTGACAAATCATATTAATGAAAAAAGATCACACATCTTCCATCATTGCCCAAGCAATGTGACCGTCAGTGAGCCCTGCCCAGAGAGCCCACTCCACGTCTGGTATGAGGCTCCAGGAGGCACCCAGGGTGAATGACAAGTTAACCCCTTTGCAACCCCAGCGTTTTCAACACTCACAGGACCTCTCTTATAATCCTACAAAATAAAGTATGAAATTCCAACATCGAATCTCATGCTGTTGAATTAACAACATCACACTGGTACATATGACTTAAATATCTCCCATAACTTTATGACTGGAAAAACACTGTTCAGATTTCATTTAACAGTTTAAAAATAGCAAACCCTAATTTGAAACACATACACACACATCGTGCATGCTCACAAATATTCCCTCTAAGTTCTAGGCAAATGTTCCTTCCTATAAACATAAATAAAATCCAGTATAATTGTACATTTTAAAAGTCAGATTTGTCAAAAGATGATGTTTGTTATGAAACAAATCAGGAGGAAAATATTCCTTAAAGCCAAAATGACAAACCACAATCTGTTTGGTATAACAATGGCTATTTATCTATTTTTCTTTTCTAATGTACAAATCAAAATTAATCTGTGTTTATTTTAACTTGAAAATAAGCCACAGATTATCATATCCCTGTGCAATGAAACTTCATCTTCTTGGGAGGGTGAGTGCTGAACAAGGCAAATAACTGAACTGAAACATCTTAAAATGGTGTGACAATTTTTTAAGAAACCACAGGAAGATTGTCTTCAAACTTTGTCACTTTGTAGATCCAGACATGAACTAAAAAAGAAAATTAGAGAAGATGCCCACAGACCACCTTAAGTCCACAGAAAGTCGAAAATAATATCACTGTGCTCATAAACGAGGGGCTGCTCTTTGTACACAGCAGAAGCACTAATAATACACAAGGCACTCACGTTTAAACTCACCGCTGGATGTAAGGGTCGGGACAGTACTGTAGGGTGGCACACCGTGGAGTTTCAAAATTCATTTCCTTCAACTGTTTGATATCAACAAGTGGAGAACAATTATAACATATACACATACACCTGTGTATGTATAGATATAAAGACAGGAGGCTAAAAGCAATAGGGTCAAATGCTATCAGACATAAAAGTTTAGACGCTTCTCTCCCTTCACACACATTTGCAAAGAGGCGGAGCGTTTCTTGGTTTTAGCCAATGAGATTTACCAAGTGACTAAAACATCAGTAACAGTGGATTCTTACCAGCTGGGCATCCTCTCTATAGTTGTTCTTTCCCCGCTACCATGGCTTTAGCGTCCTTGATGTATGGTGGCCACACTTGTTGGCAACTTGGAGGCATCTCTGAACTTCTGGTCTCTCTGGTGATTGGATGCTAGCATGAATGGCATCAGAGTTTAATTTCAGCAGCCTGGACTTTTAAAACAGAACTGAGCTGAAGAATGTCCACCCTGCTCCAGCTAATGAACGTTTCCTTGTATCTGGACACTGATTTGATTTGAGGACTTCTGTCACTCCTTCTGGAGCTACACTTTTTACAGAGCTGCTTAGGAAGTTGCGTGTGTGTGTGTGTGTGTGTGTGTGTGTGTGTGTGTGTGTGTGTGTGTGTGTGTGTGTGTGTTTTCATCTCCACCTCCTCCCCGCCTTCCCCCACGGCCCCCCCCTTCATTCTCCCTTTCAGCCAACCGCCTGTTGTGGTCACAATCTCAAATAGCAAAGACAGGGAAATTCCTTGATTATATTTAACCTAGAACTCACTCTTCGTCTCAACTAAGAGAAAGAGATATCCATTCACATCCCCTTAGAAGTTTCGCCTGCCCCAGATAAAAGAAAATAACCTTTACTGAGTTTTTAAAATATCCTACCTAAACACACACACACACCTGATTTTCTTAGAGCAATATTAAAATGGAAAATAAATATATATTACAAACTTTGTATGAAGTTTACAAAGTGATGACCAAAACCCTGTTAATCTAATGAAAACATTCTAGTTTATTTCAGTCTCTATCAGTCTGTCTTACTCTCTTACTTATGTCATTGCTTTTGCTGGGTTTTGGTTTTGGTTTTGCTCAACCTACTTTGGAGTAAAACCACTAAATGTTTACATATCCAAAAATTTATATAATATCAGAAAAGTCTACATACAGACTAACTTACTTCCTTTCTGAACACAGGCTGTAAGCCTATCCTGGTTTTGTGGACTTGGAAATTAAATGAAATATGATTCAGAAGCTAAATTAAAATAGACACCAACAGGAAAAAAAAACAGTTTGTGAGCCCAAGTGTCTCTAATATGGCAAGTTCTCATCCTTCATTCAGGTCCCCTGCACACTGGTGACATCAGTAGCTGTCAAAGTTGTGAGGCAATGCAAAACCCTTTGCAGAGAAATTTGACATTTCCTCATAAGAAATTCTGGTTTAAAATGTGTTTCATAAAAATATTTTATTTGTTGCTTCAGCCAGGATAGAAGGGAGAAGCTATTTAAAACTTGACATTCTCTTCCCTTACTTAGCCTGAGTGTCTAACATCTGTGAATTGTGAAATTCACAAACATGCAGCCCAAGCCCCAGCCAAATCAAACAGCTTGTGCTATAAAATGTGAAACTGAAGGGAAGATCATTTTACTAATTAATTATAGATTTGTTAATTGGAGTTAAAGTGTTTGGCTTTGTTTCCTGCTATTGGAAAATACACATGACAGGAATATATAAAGTTCTTAAATTGAAAACATGCACTTTCCTTTGACCATGGCCAAGTTGTTCCATCATACCAGGCCTTGCTGTCTACGTTTATAAAATGAGAGGAAAAATAATGATTTCTGGTACCATGCTTCTCAAATGTCCCTGCACTTGGGAGTCACCGGGAAATCATGCTGATGCAGATTCTGCTTTGGTAGATCCTGGGTGTGACCCGAGACTCTGCACTTCCAACAAGCTCCCAAGTGATGCTGGTTCTACTGGTTCTTAATCCCACTTCGAGCAGCAATACCTAGTGCTCTTTCCAGACCTGCTGTTTATTTACTCTTAGGAAATAAGCAGAACTCTTCTAAATAAATTACCTAGACTCCCAATAAATTATCAATTTGCAGACAATCCTAGAACGTTTTTAATTTCAAAGGTGTATAACCTTTTTTATTAAAGAAATTAAAGTGTATGTGTTGAATCAATAGTTATTTTTAAAAATCCTAAATTTGCCCAGCTAAAAGGACAGATAAATGGCTCAGTTTTATATAAGTAATCATGAAAAATATTGGGTCCTATTGCACTGGGAAAAGAAATTCAAAGAGATCGACCAAGGGCAAAAAGGCAGACTGTTTAGGATTCAATAGCACAACAATATCACACAACAATCCAAAACTTAGGAAAATAAGTGACAATTCTATTATAATTACTGCAATTGCCACTTACATTAATATTTTATCCCTCTTCCCCTAGGGGCTCAAGTTACTATATAAATGCACAAATCATTTATTTGATGTAAAAGTTAGATGTTTTCCAGGACCATTAAGTCTTTTTGGTAGAGATTGTAATAGAATAAGGTACTCAGAAGCCTAGTAGAAGGCAGTTGCTTTTCTGGGCATGACCTACATATGTGAATGAAGTTGTTTGTGAAGGCTTTTGATTTGTATGAAGAAGAGGAGAAAGTAAAGGGCTTAGGGAAACAGCATGATTTAGGACCTCTAGAACTCTGAACATAATGTAAGAGAAAGCTATACTTTCTCCTTCTCAGCTCCCAGCGGCCAAGAATGTGCACTCTGCCAATCAGTTATGCAGAACACAAACCCATCTCACTTACATCCATGTGAATTGTTTCACAGTTGCTCTTCTTTATGCACTCTACCCACTAGGTTACGTACCTTTCTGGTTACTCTCCTGCCTTGGATTATACTTTGTCCACCATTCAGAATGTTTCTAAACCCCACAGGCATATATCCAATTCTCCCAAATCCTTTGAAAAAAGGAAGTTTTCCTTATCTCTATAAGTAAAAGGAAGCTCCACCACCTCTTGTGCCCTGAATCATTATGTCTGCACTCTTGTAAGTGTACCTGGCTACTTTTTTCCTGGATCTAAGCTCTTTTTGCAAGAGACCCATCTCCCATATTGGACTTTGAACAAGTTAAGGGTGGGTTTGCTATCCAATTTGTCTTTCTATTTCCTGGAACTAGCAAAATATGGTTTAGTGGATGAATAACATGTTTACATCTTTGTAAAAATCATCCCTCCCAGAGAAGCAAAAATCATCTAAAGTACCATACATGATTAAAAAAGAACGTCCATAAAAACACTTGACTTTTTAGAATCAACTAAATCAAGGTACAATTGACAGATGAAGAAATCTGCTAATTCTAAGTGTTCATTTTGAGGAGTTTTGACCCATTTTATACCATGTAGCCTTCACCACAACCAAGATTGAGAATATCCATTACCCTAAAAGTTCCCTTATAACCCTTTGAAGTTAATCCTTCTTCATTGTTAGCCTTGGACAATCACCCTCTTGCTTTTTGTCATTATATATTAGATGTGTATTTTTCAGAACAGCATTATACAATGGAACTTTCTATGATGGAGGAGGTATTCTCTATTTGCACTGTCCAACCTGATAGCCACTGGCCATATGTGGCTAATGTGACTAAGGAACCAAATTTTTTTAAATTTAATTTTAATCAACTTAAATTTAAATAGGCACATGCAGCTAGCAGTTACCATGTTGGACAGCACAATGCTAGAATATCAAATAAATGGAAGTACATAGTATGTATTCTTTAGTGCTGAGGTTCTTTCAATCAACATATTGCTTCTGAGATACATTCATGATGTTATCTATATCAGTAACTGTTTTTTTTATATGGCAGTTGAACATGTAGTGATTATTCCTTTTTTTAAGAGCTTAATGATAACTCATCCTACCAATCCCTTAGTGTTCAGAAATAGCTCATTCCTTCCCAGGTTGCTGCAGCTCTAGAGGAGGTAGCAGCTACAGTATAAAGAAACTGGCTAAACAGGGTATAGTCTGAGCTCTAATCCCAAGCTACTCCCTGACCTTAGGCAAAAAAGCTTATTCTCTTTGAGCCTTAGATTCTTGATCTTTAAGAGAAAGGCTGTATCAATGAGGATTCTTTTATTATAAGCAATTGAAACTAACTCTGGCTAACTAAAACTCAAAATGTGAAAAAAATGTAAAAAAAAAAATCACAGACTGGAAGAAAAAGTTGAAAAATAAGGTTTGGGAAAGGGCTAGGAGCCGGATAACTTTAGGGATCTAGGTACCAGGAATAAATAGAACAGGACTTTCATGATGTCACCATAGGGATAAGTCAGACCCAACCAGGTTTTTTGAAATTGAGTCAAAATCTACCTTAAGAGTCAAATTCTCATAAGGAAGATGCCATGTTTGTCTAGGAGAAGTCTGAATACCTTGATTGGTAGCCCCACCAAGACTGGGGCAGACTTTCAAAACAATAAAGGAGGGGGGTGATTCTATCACCAAAGAAAGGTCAATAGGTTCAGGGAAATCAAAAACAACAGATGGCACCACAAGGGGCTTACAGAGGACAATCTCGCACATTCCTTAGAGTTCTGCTGCCTGTAGCTGGGTGACTGGAGAAATGAACTTCTTCCTTTCAGGGTAACTGAACCTCATGTCCTGTCTTCTCCAAGTCATCCTGACCTGCACTTCTTTTATATATGGGGATCAGGAGAGAACCTTTTAGCATAGGAGGGGGTAAAGTAAACTCATCAAGTGTCACCCAAATTGAAGGGACTGAGGGATTTAGTGATTTTTAGCTTTAAGATACTTTTCTGTATATAACTGTACAGAAAATTTGGTGACTTTTGGTTTTAAGACACTTTTATGCACATAATTGTACTGTTCAACCTCACAATCTCTATTTTATAGAAGTGGACACCAAGTTATGCTTTTGGGGAGAGATCCTGTTAATTGTTCTATGCGCTCTATGACTAATAACTTCTGAATTCAGGCATTTAGTATGAGTAAGGTCAGGCCTAGAACTTAAGTGTGATGCATTAAGGTCAAAAGTTTTTTTATATCAATGAAAAAACAAATGCATTGCAAGTTTAGCCATGTTCTGATTTGGCCTCCACCTCCTTACAGGTCACTGAAATTCATCAAACAGAAAAAAAATGCATGCTAACATCTCAGTGTCTATTGAGGAGAAAGAAGATGCTTCATGGGGGTGTCTAAGGAAAGGGACTCTTTTCTAGTCAGGGAGCATGCAAGGAAACCCAGAGGGCAATTCAGGAGGGAGGAGATTGGCAATTTCCCTAACAGACAAACCTGATACCCTCCAAGTCACACCCAGTGTCCAAAAGCAATGTGGGTGGGCTTCTTTTCCAGACATCCCTGAACAGCTGTGTGGGGCTGCTCCTCAGTCCCAGCCCTCCTTTCCTCAGTGCCCACGTAGGAGAGAGATAAAGAAGAAGACAACAGGAAGTCCTTATTTGGCATTTTCCAGATTTGTTTTCCTGACCCATTTGTCAGCTGCAGATGTG